CTGCAAGCACAGACTTCCTCTTGGTCATGGCTGGCATGGGCGGGAGAGAATCACACATTTCTCAAGGGTGTCTGGCTGGGATAAAGCACTTGAGCTGGAAGGTTATCGTCTCACTGGGCTGCCCCTGTGGCTAGAGAGTAGCCGCTGAGCTCTTCTTTATCTGCTCATGTGAGCCTTTGGGATTGTGAGCTCTTCAGCTCCCAGTCTGAAGTATGAGGTCAGTGGAAATTTGGGCTTTCATCCTGTGATTCCTCATAGATCCATTCTTCCTCCCACCACTTTTTCAGACTCATTCGGTTTTTTCTGACTGGGGTCCCCAGTCATCCACCTTACTCTGCAGGAGTAATGGAATGCATCCCCTCCACCTCCCTGCTCTCCAAGTCTCTCCAAGCAGGCATCTAACATGTTCTTTGTTATTTTTCTGAGCTAATAGGTTCTGATGATATAAATAACAGTCTTTAGAAGCCACCGTGTAGCCAATTCTCTTTTGGCTGCTGTTGTAGGTCCAAGGCAAGATGACTACTTGTCCCTTGAACTATCCTTCTGACCTTACTAGATTGTTCACATTACTATCCCAGCTGTCAGGCACAACAGAACACTTTCAAATGCCGAGAGCACCTCCCCCCAACCTCTTCTGTTGATATTGCCCTCAGCATTCTGCCCACAGCCCATCAGCTTTTTCCTCTGCCCTGACCATTGGCCATATAGACTGATGGATAGCACCTATTCTGAAGGCTGAAAATCTTTTTTCCCCTTTACTTTGCTTATCCATTTGGTATTGTACTTCTTAAACAAATTCTCCTTTTGGCAAGAATTCACCCACGCTACGTTGTAAGAATATAAGATTCCCTCCAACACTCAGAAGCATCCTCTAGTCCCCACCATCAGACAGCTTGTTGGGGACCAAGGAAAGTAGCATGCCATTGCCAGTTCTGCCTCCCAGCTCCCAATGCTGATAGTGAGATGGGAGTTGAGTTCACGGAGGACAGGAAATATTACCTTCTTATTTTTGGAATGGAATTTAGATTGTTCATTAACCTGTCCCGCCCGCAGCTACACTGGTCTCCTACAACTCCTTGCAACCTGAATGTTAAAGAAAATACAGTGTTTCTTCTCTACAAATTCAGCCTTTGCTTACATTCTCTACATTTGGAATGAGCTCTCCTCCCTGGGAGACAACAGATATTCAGTGGTTTTCAAAGACTAATGCAGAGGAATTGATTTTGGACACTTAGACAAACCTGCTGTAGCCTGAACTTGGCACTGTCCTAGAAGACACATGAAGAGGCAAAGATTGGCATAATCACAGTGTAGGTACATATCAGAAGATGAGGGGGTCACAGCATAGTCCATGAAACTTCATATTGTTAACCAAGACCTCTATCCTTAGTCTAGGTAGGCCCAGGGAGAAATGCAGGTAGACAGTCTCTGAGGAACCCCACTGTGTACATAATTAACACAGTATAAGGCCATGAGTGTGCTGGTAGAGATTGTATTATACTCAACGGGTGAAATGAAAGAAACAACTCAGAGAGGGTTCTAGAAATTTCTCAGAGCAATAATCACTAGAGCGGAAGTCTAAATAGTAGATAGATCAGCTCTTGGTTGGAATGGGTTTTGTGGAAAAACAACAAATTCAGTTTGAGATGTGAATTCTTCCAGGTATGTTAGTAGGGTTCTCTAGAGTAATAGAACTTATAGAATCAACCTTTCTCTCTCTCTCTCTCTATATATATATATATATGCTATGCCATAGCCTGTAAGCCACTCTAAGAAATTCCAATAATAGCTGCCTAGGAATGGAAGGTCCAAGAACCCTGTAGTTGCTCAATCCATGAGGCTGGATGTCTCAGCTGGTCTTTAGTACACACTGGAATCCTGAAGAAGTAGGCTTTAATTCCAGCAAAAGAATAGACTTGCTAGCAAGATGAGAGCAGGAAGACAAAGCTTCCTTCTTCCATGTCCTTATATAGGCTTCCAGTAGAAGGTGTAGCCCAGCTCAATAGATATGTATTAAAGGTGTGTCTTCCCACCTCAAAGATTCGGATTAGAAATTGATCTTTACACTTCAAATTAAGCAAAAGTCCCTCACAGGCGTGCCCCTCCCCTTTTGGGTTTTAGTTAATTCCAGATGTAGTCAAATTGACAGCCAGGTATAGTCATTATGTGAGGCAAGTGAGACTTTGCGGTGCCTTCTGAGTTGGTAGGAGTCTGACTATGCCTGACAGGAAGAGACCTATCACAACCATCTCCATTTTGTTCCAGTTGCTGGTTTTCATTGTTTAGGGTGCTGGATGAACCCAGGATCTTGAGCCTATTCGACAAAGCCCTGCACATCTATGCTTTCAAGAGTGCTCAACAGCTAATTTAAGCATCAGCTTCTAAAACCATCTTTCAGGGATTCTGTTATGGCATCTTCTGTGATGTGGGATCTGCTGGGGGGAGGTGAGGACAGGCAGTAGTCACTGGCTGCATTGCACACCTGCTCTTGGAAAGCTCAATTTCTAGGCTTATGTGACTTTGGTTGACAGCGAAAGCTTCCTAACAGAAATTTGGACATGAGAGTTTATTTTTCACTAACACACCCCTTCCTAGCATACCCCTCCTTCCTCAGACTACTTATTTTCCAGGACAGGAACATAACACCTCCTCCAAGGTATGTCAGCTTCTAAAAAGGACCTGTTTGTGAGGGCTTGTCGGAGCTTCAGTTTCAACGTCATTACTGGGGAGGCACCAAGACCGCACATAGCTCATAGCTAGGCTGAGTTCGTGTTTACCTAACACCTTCCATACCAGTAGAGCCCAGCTAGAATCCCTGCTTGTGCCAGCACACAGGGGGAATAATCAAAGACAACACTTTACTTCAACACCCCCGCAGTGCTGCAGAAATGAGCTGTAAAGATGCCAGCAATCTGGAGGATGGGAAGGAATTGGTCTTAAGTTGAGACCTATTTCTCCTTTTTTAAAATTGATTTCTCCTGTTTTCAGTTGTGATAAAATTTATGTAATTTAGATTTTGTCTTCTCAAAGCCTACAGTTCTGTGGCATTTGTAATCCCAATATTATGAATCCCTGCCAGTGTCTCAGAACATGTCCATCTCCCTAGGAACCCATCACACTTTGAACACTCACTCTTCCCCGCCCCCAACACCATCCCCACCCCCACATCCTGCATGCAACCACTGGCAACTTCAGCTTGTACTTTTCTGTCTTCACACATTTGCCTGCTCTGGAAATTTTGCATACTCATGCCCAACCTTTGAGACCAGGTCTGTTTTCAAAGAATGTGTTGCGCATCATTGATCAGGACTGAATTCCTCTATACTACACAGCATACATTATACTCCTTTTAATGGATATGACACATTTTGTTTATTCATCACCAGTTGATGGATATTTGGTTTTCACCCTTCAGAGACTGTGAATAATTCTGGTGTGGGTGTGGGTATGCAGACATCTTCTGATTCTAGTCTCAGTTATTTTGAGTGTGCATCTAGGAGTATCTAGGAATAAAGTGTCTCAGTGACATCTTTGAGTGAGGCTAACTTCCCGAGAGGCAGTGACTTCACCATCTTGCAGTCCTGTCAGTGATATAAGAGGGTTCCAGTTTCTCCACACCTCCTCCCACCCTCTTCCTTTTCTGGAAGTATGTTTTGTTTACTGTTTCGTAGCCATCCTCATGGATGTGAAATGGGGTCTTATTGTGGTTTTGGTTAGCATCTTCCCAGTGAATATGCTAGATATCTTCACTTGAGCTTGCTGATCAGTGTGCATCTTCATTGTCCAAAGATGTACTCAAGTCCTCTGTTCATGTTTCACTTAGGTTGTTTATCTTGTTGCTGTTCATTCATGGGAGTTGCTTATGTATTCTAGATACCAGGTCCTTATCAGATATGATTGATTAGCAAATGTTTCTCCCATTTCTCGTTCCTTTGTGGTGTCCTTTGATAGATTTTAACTTTTTTTAGATTTTTAAAGTTTTGCACGTGAGTGTTTGACCTGCTTGTGTGTATGTGCTCCACATGTATGTATGCTGTCCAAGGCTATCAGATTCCTTGGATCTGCGGTTATGGATGATTGTGAACCATCATGTGACCTGGTATCTAGAATACATAAGAAATCACTATGACTTAATGGCAAAAGGATAAAGAATTCAACTGAAACATGAACAAGGATTTGAATGAATGAATTGAACCTTATGTCCTCAGCAAGAGCAACAAGTGCTCTTGACCACTGAGCCATCTTTCCAGCCCCTCTTGGTTTTGTTTGTTTGCTTTGTTTGATTGGGTTCTGCTACCTGTTTTGCTCAGGCTGGCGTCAAATTCCTGGGTAGAAGTGATGTTCAGCTGGAGCTACAGGTAGGCACTACTGTGCCCAGTTTAAAGTTTTCAATTTTAATGAACTCAGTTCTATTTGCTATTTGAATTTTGGGTACACACAAGGGGCTGTGATCAGCACAGGTGCCCTCAGACTGGAGGCTCTTAGGGTACTTGAACTCACTGCAAACACTAATGGGGGTGGTAGACTCCACTGCTTGGAATTCCAGCTGCTTTCATGAAGTGCCTCAGCGAGGACTGATACCTCTCCATACTGAGCTCCGAATCTAAGCCAGAAATGTCCATGGGGCTGATGTCTGCAGTTTCTCCTTGCCTTCTGCCTGGGTCCTCATATGGACTTCTATCTGTGTGTGTCTGAGTCCTGATCTTGCTTTATAAGGATCAGGGCCCATCTGTATGTCATTTTACCCTATGACAGATCCAGTCTCCAAGTACGTTCCTCCCATTCTGGGATTGGCTTCAACATGGAGAGAGAGATGGAGGAGGGAGATAGAGATGTCTGCCTGGTGTGAAAAGGCATGCATACTGCCTGATGCCTCCGGGAGACGAACAAACCTGGACACAGGAGACTGCTCCGCCCCCTCTTTCAGTCTGAAGCTATCTGGATCCCTCAGAGAGACGTTGGGGTGACCTGACCCTCTTTGCTCTTTTGCTCTCCTGTAGGTTGAACGAGCGTGACCGTCTGATCAAGAGGCTCAGCAGGAAAACACCCCCAACCCTCTTCCGAGCAGGCTCCATCCAGCAGTGTGTCACCCGTAAGTGACTGTGGGTAGCAGTGAGTGGTAGGCAGCCAGGGGGTGAGTGGGGCACCCGGTCAGGGATGGCTGCCACACCCCATGGAGTGAGAGCACTGCCTGAGAGCTGATGGTCGGTGCTCACAAAGAACACATACTGATGGTTCTCTGGGCAGTTCAGCTGAGCTCTGCCTGCCACCGGAGACTTTCTCAGTGGAGAGGGAAGGCTGGTAGTATGTCACCTGTCAGCACGTCACTCCTTCTCATTTCCCACAGCCACAAGGAAGGGTGTGGCTTAGCCCCGAGGGTACAAAATCAAAGGCTCAAGCAAGAGAGCACCCATATACAACAGGTTGTAGTGCTATGTTGTGGATTCTGGGTCAGCACCATAGGATCTAAGTCACAGCCATGTTGGAGGTGTGAGATAGAAGTCAAGGTATGAGGGTTTATGGGATCCTCCAAGGACAGCAGTCTGCAGGGGTTTCCCTCAAAACTCACACAGCAGGGGTCCCCCTGGACTCACACTGCAGGGGCCCCCCTCTGGACTCACACTGCAGGGGTTCCCTCAAAACTCACACTGCAGGGGTCCCCTCTGAACTCACACTGCAGGGGTCCCCTCTGGACTCACACAGCAGGGGTCCCCCTCTGGACTCACACCTCTGGGTTCCTGACCTGCCTCTCTGTGTCTACATTTGTAAAATGGGAACAATGTTGGAACCCAGCTGGAGCTGTCAGGAGGGTAAAAGAAGATCACATATATGATATATATATATATGCATGGCTCTAGAAGAGTGCTGGACTAAAGAGTTCAGGAAGAGCAATATAGTGTAGTTATTGTTCAGTTATAGATCAGAACAATGTATGCATTTCTCAAAGTTTCTACTTTTTCCTCTGGAAAAAGAAAATACAATTATATGACATCCTTATTCATTATCACGTGAAGTATATAAAACCTTTAGGATGGATGCAGCCATACTGTGAACCACACTGCAGCCAAGCCAGGAGACTGAGGCAGGAGGATCACAAGCCCAAAGGCAGTTCAAGGCCAGCCTGGGCAATCCAGTGAGATCCCGTCTCAAAAAAGTAAAATGAGGGCTGCAGACAGGGTTTGGTAACAGACCTCTTACTCAGTGTGCACAAGGCTGAGGCTCATTCTCCAGTATCAACGACAATTACATATGTTCACATACATCTAGGGAAAGCTATAACTATCTTAACAGCAACCTCATTATTTTCTTAAGCCAACACTTGGAAGACAAAAAAAAAAAGTCTATGAACAATTGCAAGAAGTAAGATAGCTTCTAAAACCATACCACATTTATTAAAACCTTTAATGGGAGGCTGGAGAGAGGGTTCAGCAGTTAAGAACAGGAGCTACTCTTCCAGAAGACCCAAGTTCAATACTTAGCACCCACATTATGCTTCAGAACCACCTGTGACTCTAGTCCCAAGGACCTGCTATCTTCTTCTGGCCTCTGCAGGCACACGGGTGCAAAGACATATATTTAGGCACACACCCATACACATAAAATAAAAATAAATAAAATTTCAAAAACTTTAAATCCCTCATGGGTATTACTGGAGCCTGTTAAGCAGCGTGGGATTCTCCTGCCATTCACAAGGAGACTGGCAAGTGCTCAGAGCTCTGGCTCTAAGAAGGCCTGTGTAATGTCTCTGAGCCTTGACTGCCCCCCTCCAACTGTCCTGCTATCACAGACCCCAGCCTCCCTGGCAACCTGAGAGGCTCTCATCTTCAGTAGCCTGTTGTTACCGTGGTTTGTATAAGGGACAGAACTTAAGTCAGAATCTTTAGTAGTAACTAGAGTTAGGTTCAATCATGAGGGTAGAGCCCTCATAGCTGAATCCTATGGCTGTATAGGGGACAGAGACCAGAAGTCACATATACATCTTTGTCTCTTCCATGTGTTGTCCTGTGCTTATCTTGGGACCCTGCCAGCAGGCCCATCACTAGATATGGTTCCTTAACCTCTAACTTCCAAATCTGGGAGATGAAATAAATCTCATTTTATAAGGTTCTCAGCTTTGGATGTTTCATTATAGTAACAAAAAATAGACTAGCACAGCTCTTATGACAGGCCGGTGTGCAGCATTAATAAATGAGATCAGTATTTCCTACACACTCTAAATGTCCTCATCAGCACATGGTTCGTATCATCTCTGAAGCTCTACTTTTATTAAATGACTACCAGATCTCAGGGTCAAAGCAAGAGAATGTAAGAACGTTATTCTAAAATTGGGGGGGGGGGTGGCTTGACTTTATCAACTTGACTTTCACCAAATGTTCCGCCTGCAACAAGATAAAACAACTAAAGAATAAACCACACACACTCCATCTCTGCCCCCTCCCATGAGCCCTCTATAGATTCTGGCAGGATCTAGAAACAGGAACCAGGGAGGTTCCCAAGTTAGGTCTGGGAATGCTTCCTCTAGGACTCCAGCTCCCTACCAAGACTTCCTGAAGATGAACCTATGACAAATGCAGAGAGCTGGAGATTCCCCTGGCTCCCCAGAGGGATGCAAATACAGTTAAATGTCCCCCAAATTAACCTAGGAAGAAATCCTGCATCCTGGTTAGGCTTCTGAGGTGGCGGGAGGAGTCAGTGAGTGACCTGTGGACTATCTTCTGAGGTGGCAGGAGGAGTCAGTGAGTGACCTTGGACTATCTTCTGAGGTGACAGGAGGAGTCAGTGAGTGACCTTGGACTCTCTTCTGAGGTGGTGGGAGGAGTCAGTGAGTGACCTGTGGACTATCCTTCTGAGGTGACGGGAGGAGTCAGTGAGTGACCTTGGACTCTCTTCTGAGGTGGTGGGAGGAGTCAGTGAGTGACCTTGGACTATCTTCTGAGGTGACAGGAGGAGTCAGTGAGTGACCTGTGGACTATCCTTCTGAGGTGACGGGAGGAGTCAGTGAGTGACCTTGGACTCTCTTCTGAGGTGGTGGGAGGAGTCAGTGAGTGACCTTGAACTATCTTCTGAGGTGGCAGGAGGAGTCAGTGAGTGACCTGTGGACTATCATCTTCTGAGGTGACAGGAGGAGTCAGTGAGTGACCTTGGACTATCATCTTCTGAGGTGACAGGAGGAGTCAGTGAGTGACCTTGGACTCTCTTCTGAGGTGGTGGGAGGAGTCAGTGAGTGACCTTGAACTATCTTCTGAGGTGGCAGGAGGAGTCAGTGAGTGACCTGTGGACTATCATCTTCTGAGGTGACAGGAGGAGTCAGTGAGTGACCTTGGACTATCATCTTCTGAGGTGACAGGAGGAGTCAGTGAGTGACCTGTGGACTATCCTTCTGAGGTGGCGGGAGGAGTCAGTGAGTGACCTGTGGACTATCTTTTCACTGGATCTGTGCCCACCTGCCTCCCATCGGACCCAGTTTCTAAGAGAAGAGACTTTTCTGACAGGGAAGGCTAACCCCACCTAGAATAAATCTCTCAGCACTTTGCCACCCTTCCTTCCCTTTGTTTTGCACTCAAGCGGGAACTAGAGTGGTACACTAGGCAAGGTCCCTGTTGCTGGTCTAGAGACGCATTGCTCTTTTTACCTCCCATCTTCTCAATCCATTGCTCCACCTGGCCTTGAGCTTGCCATCCTTCTACCTCAGGAAGGGCATTTGGTCACATTCTGCTCATTGGAGAATGGGTCAGGATGAGAATGTTGCCTGTCTCTCTGCAGAGAAGCCTAGAAATCCTCACCCAGAGTTATCTGAGGCGACCCCTTGCCAGCCAATAGGACCCCTTATAACCATGAGATTAAGACACTTCCAGACTATTCTTTATTTTTCATTTACTTATGTTTTGATAACCCTAATAAAATATTTATGTTTTAATATTTCATTCATTCACAACCTTAATCCATAACCCCTGTCTTAGTTAGGGTTTCTATTGTGCAGTGAAACACCATGACCAAAAGGCAAGTTGATGAGGAAAGGGTGTTTTGGGACTACACTTCAGGATTTCTATTCATCACTGAAGGAAGCCAGGACAGGAACTCAAACAGGGCAGGATCCTGGATGCAGGAACTGATGCAAAGGCCATGGAGGAGTGCTGCTAACTGGCTTGCTTCCCATGACTTGTCCAACGCACCTTCTTGTAGAACCAAGGACCAGCAACCCAGGGGTAGCACTACCCAACATGGGTTGAGCACTCTCCCATTGATCACTAGTTGAGAAAATGCCTTACAGCTGGAGCTCATGGAGGCATTTCCTCAGCTGAGGCTCCTTCCTCTCTGATGACTCTAGCTTGTGTCAAGTTGACACACAAAACCAGACAGTACAGTGCCTACACACACACACACACACACACACACACACACACACACACACACACACAAAGGAGGAGGAGGAGGAGGTGAAGGAGGAGAGGAAAGGAGAGGAAAGAGGCCTAAAATTTTTTTAGCAATTTTTCCAGCTGGACTGACTATTTAGACGAGCTCCTTTCTCCATGGCTGTCATGCAGACACCTCGCCTTCCATGCAGAGTGTAAACTAGCATGGAACAGGCCAGGGCAAGGCTGCAACCTTAGTGTGATTAGCCAAGGATGATGCACCCTGGAGCCCTCAGGAAGGGCTGGAGCTGTTAGAGGTAGGGCATGCCTTGTCCAGGCCATTCCGTCTTACAGAGACGCAAACCCAAACCCAGACAGCTTCAGGAGTCCAAGGTTACAAAGCCTAGTAATGGCCAAGCAAGGACAAGAAGTTCCTTTTGTGCCCCAGTACTCCAGCCATCTGGTCACCATCCAAGATAGATGCCCAACCAACTCAGAATGCCATCCTCCTCTTACAGGGGCCACAGTAGTCCTCTCCCCTCTTGCCTCATTTCTAGAATCTCTCTGGGAAGCCTTCCTTTGACCACAATGGCTTCCTTCAGACTGAAGGGTCTCCCTGGTGGGCTGCAGCAGTCACAACCACAGCCACAGTGGAAGCCAGGGGCATCATTCCAGCAGTACATCCCATCCAGGGCAGCTTCTGGGATTGATGACCCTTAAGAACACACAAAAATTCCTTGTTAGAAGACTAGAAAATGAACATTGTCAGATTTAACTGTGGTAAAGCAGCCTTGGTACCAAAGGGCACACTGGAGTTGCGTTTGTTTGTTTGTTGTTGTTTTGAACTAGATTTTTCTGCTTTGAACCATCCCAAGGAAAAACTGCCTGTCCTCTTGGACTGCGGTTAAAAATGCCTCACAAAGCACACCTTGTGTGTGGCCAGGGCAGGGACCTAGACAGAGAGGAGGCAGAGAGGGAGCAGCCCCTTCCCTTCCCAGAGAGCTCCAGCAAGCCATGTCCATTTCTAGAAGTTTGGGAGCTGGGGTGAGACACAGCCTTTGTTCCTTACCTCACAGAAGCAGGAGCTATGTGGACAGCAACATAAGAAAGCCCCTGTGCCTAGGGCCTGAGGGCAGTGCGTGTCTTTAGTGGAAATCCCCATCCAGACCTGCTTCTGCCTCTACTCAAGGACCACCCCACTTATGAACTTTTGAGGGGTACCCTGTGTGGGGGGGGCTAGAGGACAACTTTATAGGGCTACTCTCTCCTTCCACATTTATGTGGGTTCCAGGGAATAAAAGTCAGTTCTCCAGCTTGAACAGCAAGTATCTGCTGAGCCCTCTCCCCAGCCTCCATCTGGCTTTTGCCTGGTTATGGGGCCCATGCTACATGGGGTCCATGCTACACTAGGAACTGCTCCCCTATGACTTCCACATGGCGGGACTTCCTGTCTGGGGGATTGATTCTTGCTGGAAATGGGCAGCAGGCAGGAGTGCGTGTCTCTGTGTCTCTGTCTCTGTGCTTACAGAGGTTCCATCTTCCCACTTTCACTGCCCCCCCCCAGTCTCCCTGACTCTCCTCCCCATTGCTCAGACCCCGGGCCCTCAGGGGACCCTGAGTGTCCTTTGCCCACTATACACAGGAATCCCTAGGGACCACCCAAGCCTTTAGGCTTTCTGGGGAGTAGCTGGCAGGCTCATTCTCCTGAAGGGCAGGAAGCCAGCCTAGGAACAGGAGTTCTGGGTTCTGGCCCCACAAATGAACAACAGCATGGAGTCTTCCCTTACAGCCTTCTGTCAGCCTGTCCTGCTTGTGACTGTGTCTTCACACACCCGGCAGATTTTACTCTCTGTCAGACATCTGAGGAAATCAACAAGTTGACAGCTGCCTACCTTTTCTGATCTCTTTTTCTCCTTTCAGAGAATATTGCTGGAGGGGGAGGGTATGCCTCAGAGCGCTTACCTAGGATGCAGAAGGCCTTGGGTTCTATCCCCCGCACTGCAAAAAAGAAAAAGCAATGTTTAAAAGTAGCTCATCAGTGACCAGCTCCATTGATAAAGTGCAATCACGAAGACCTGGGTGCCTTACAACCTTCTAGATTTGACTGAGCCATCTTCTGGCCAGGACATCTAACTGATGAGCAATGGGACTTTCTGTCCCTCTGCCCCAGCAGGGGTTGTCAGGAGTCGGCCAGTCACACTGCCTAGCTTTGCTTCCCAGCTCTGTGACCTTGGGCAAGTAAAAAAGTCTCTGGGCCTTAATCTCCTCAGCTGTGAGGTGGGAACATGGTATCATGTGCGGTCATGGGTGGATCCTTGAGCTATTTTCATGCAGTGTGTAGAACAGCTTGTGATACGTGTCATGTTATTACCCTGGGAGGCTCAGTCCTTCTGTGGTCATGGAACCGTCCACTAAATCTGCCCTCTCCTGTGGTCACTCAGAAACAAAGCCACTTCAGTCCAGTGCATGAACTGGAACTCTCCAAGCATCCCATGTGCTTCGATGGCTTTGCTATTAGGGGTACCTTTCCTGACATATTTATGCTCTCATAATAGCATCAGGCAGATGGGGGACATTGTCTCTTGATAGGCGGTAGGGTAGTGGAGACACGGCCCACTAGCCCATGTTTGCATTTTCCATACGGAGCCCCCCAAAATTAGAAAACCTACCTGTTGTGGTTTGAGGGTCCTCCAGAATGCATGTGGGCATGTAATTGCTCTGATGATGGAATGGAAGGGGGAGTTTTAGGTGTGACCGTGTCACGTGGGCTCTATGCCAGACAATGGATTAATATTGCCTAACAGGAGTGGGTTGTCAGCCCCCCCCCCCGCTATGCTGCAGTAAGGAAGTCCTCACCAGGTACTGCCTCTTGACATTGGACTCCCAGCCTACAGCTCTGCAAATCAAACAAACTTCCATGGTATTTTTTTTTACAGGTGCAGAAAACATACTCCTTCTACTCTGAGCCGTTCCCACCCAGTATGATCAGCCCCCGCCACCACAATCCCTCTTGATAAGGGCCCCTTTGCTTTTACAGGTGTCTTCATCTCAGCTATCTGTGTCCATGACTAAGAAAGTCCCATGACCGTACAGTTCAATGGAGGTCCTCCTAGAAAGCAGTTCATCCTTAGTCTAGAACAATGTTTCTCAACCTGTGGGTCGCTATCCCATAAGCCTTTACAGGGGGTTGAATACCAAATATCCTGCATATCAAATATTTACATTACAATTCATAACCATTAGAGACCTTACAGTTATGAAGAAGCAACAAAATAATTTTATGGTTGGGGGTCAGTGCATCATGAAGAACTGTATTAAAGGGTCCCAGCATTGGGAAGGTTGAGAACCACTGGTCTAGAACATTCTCTAACCGCTTCGCCCTGTGTGTTCCTCTGTAGATGGGTATGCCTTTTCTCAAGAAGAACATGGAGCCGTCACCCAGGAGGAAATAGTCCGTGCTTATGACACCACCAAAAACAAGTCAAGGAAGAAATAAGAGGCAATTTTACCCATGGCTCCAGGGAAAAAGAGATTCGGTTTGTTGCACACAGTGTTAACACGGTTTTGTCAGAAGAGACTGGTGCCCGCAGCCCCAAACCAGAAAACACATTTCTGTGGCCTTAGCTGACCAGTTTGTTAGCAGCTGTCTGTCCCCTTGCAGTCTCAAGGTATAGGCATCAGGAGAAGCGACTCTCCCAGCTTGTCTGCAGCGCTTGGCCCAACTTTTGTTTACGTTGTTATGAAGCATTCAGCTGGGCTCTGTGAGGTGTGAAATTAAAAACTATGTTTCACCAATGCTCAAACATCAATAGTAGTGCTTCTGGGAGAAAGGAAAGGGGCGTTATGTTACTAGAGACCAGTCCTGTGTAATTGGAACAGGGTACACTCACTTCCTGTTTGGTGCATGCACAGATCATACAAGCCTTGCTTTTCTGCAGATTGCTCACTTTGATCCCTGTTTTGTTTGTGTGAAGTTGCCATAAACGTCTTGATTGCAGTGAAACCAGAAAAACTTACGGTTGAAGGACAAACCTGAGAACATTTCTTTGGCTCTGTCAGCACCAGCCCCAGCAAGGCAACCAGCCAGCGTTCCACGCCTTCAGTCCCAGCATCGCTACCCTGCGCTGTTGTGCTCAGATCTGCACAGCTGGCTGCTGGGTGCAGTGCCTCCCAGCTGGTTGCCAGCCATCCAAATTCTGCGTGTCCTTGTTCCTCTATATGTTCAAATAAGGATGTTAGAGTTTTTCTTCCCGCCCTGCCCACTGCTGCCCTTTAGCTCTGTAACTGAAGAGTAGTGGCTGTCCCATACCTGGCTGTCTTTTTCTGATGGGACCTGGCGGGTAAGGGTGGCAGGCTCTGCATACCACTTCTGAGCTAGCCCTTTGGCAGCCTCTTGGAATTGACACCTGCTTCCTGGATACCCAAAGAACATTTTAGACTATCTATAGTTTGGAAGGGAGTTTATAATGGCGTCTGGGCACTAAAGGGACAAAATGGTCACTCTGGAATTCTAGAATCAGAGTGAGTTGGGGAGAGGGGTAAGCACTGGGCAGAGAGTAGTGAGGAAGAGGACCCCAGAGCTCCCTGGAAGGTGACAAAGGACCTGAGACCCAGGAGGCAGACACAGAGGACATTTTCATCATATCTCAATGGAAGTTCTCAAGTCCTGCTCTTGACAGACAGCCCATGTGCACTGTAGCAGAAACCAGACCTTGTCCTGCAGACCGTTTGTTTGGTTGATTTTCTTGAGACAGAGTCTTAGGCTTTATGCCAATCTAGCCTTGAGCACACTTTGTAGTCCAGGCTAGCCTCAAACCCTCAGCAATTCTCAGCCTCGTGCATATTAGGATTACCACATTTCAGCACCGTATGATTCCAATGAAAACAATTACAAATATTAACATGGTCTCCTTCCTGTATCCAGCAAGTTTTAGGCCCACGGGCCTCTTTCTGAACAGTGGCTTGGGCTCTGAAACAAGGATGGGAAGTGCCAGTTCCCAGCTTTGTCCACTGCAGGCCCCACTCTGAATTAGAACAGAACCTGGATGCCCCGAGCCTGCATGTGCGAACTGGGGGCTCTCAGAAAATGGGGTCCTGGAGGCAGCATGCTTTCCTCCCTTTAGCTGCTACACCAGATTTTTTGGATGGTTTTAGTAAATACCTCTGGGCACCTGTTACGTTGTGAAGTGGTACCATACCATCAGGGATGTGTGCTAGCTTAGAAAATAAAGCAGCAGTAGGGATGGCCGAGTGGTCCAAGGGGCTGCATTCGGGAAGAAAAGATGCTGCGCTTTGCTTCTTAACCTTTTACTTTTGGAACAATAGAGATCAGTGGGTACCAAAAAGATCTTGGTTATGACTGGCATTGAGTGAGAAAACTGATTCTCACTTAGGGAGTGGCCAGGCTGCTGAGATGACTTGAAGCAAGGCAGGGTGCTGTCATTAACAAGAATCCTGGAAGTGACCATCTTTGCTCCCTAAGGCAAGTGAAAAATCTAGTGTACCCAGCAAGCCTGAATACTGACAGACTGTACCATGTGGGAGAAACAGCAGGAAGTATGCCTCAGATCATGGAGTTAACCATGGTGTGCATCTTACCCGGAGAGTTGCGGGCAGAACTGTGGAGAGAAAAGGAAAACCAATTGAATGTACAGCAGGCTTTTCATTATTCTTTCTTTCTCTCTTTCTTCCATTCTTTCCCTTCCCTTCTTTCTTTCTTTCTTTCTTTCTTTCTTTCTTTCTTTCTTCATTCCTTTCTTCCATTCTTTCTCTTTATTTCTTTCAACTTTAAAGACTAGATTTATTTGAAGGAAAAAAAAAACACAACAAACCCTCAACCCTAAGGATAGGATTTTAAATCTCAAGAAATCATCCCCCAAGTAAAGTCTACAGATTACAAATAATTTTCATAGAAGATACTTGTGCACAAATTCTACATACATTCAGGAACATATAAATTGACCCTTGCTTTTATTTTAACAGAGGGGCAGAGCAGATTTCTTTTAGATGTAACTGTCTGTAAGGGAAATAGACATGAAGAGGGCAAATTACCTCTTCATTGTCTACAACCAATAGCTTTTTAAAAAATGAATTCAGCTGTGACTATCTCTCTAAAGCCTGTTTCCTAGATATTAACCAATCAAGTCCACTGGATAAGTCCTTGCTATGCCCACTAAACCAATGCTTCTACACAGCAGGCCTAGGGCTTGCACATTAAGACCAAGGTCTCATTTGTCTGAAGTTCTTTGCATTATCCTTTATTCTTGACTGAAGTTAAGAAACCAAAACCCTCTTGAACAGAAAAATCTCACAGTATATCATTTTACAAATCCAAGCACTAGCATGAACTTCCATAAGATACCCCAGTGAAGGCTAAAGGCCTCTAACTCAACTCTCCCCATATGTATCCCAAGCCCATCAATTGAAGTACTGTGACCTTCAAGTCCAGGAGCAGCAGGAAGCAGGGGGTGGTGGGAGCAGGAATCAAAGACATCACAGAGTTGGTTCACTTGAGAAAAACAGTGATTACTCAGGCCACAGCTTCTGGTGGCCAAGATAAAATGCCTGTGAGATCAGGTGTGTGACTTACAGAGACTGCCTCAGGGAGGCTAACGCTGTCATTAAGAACATGAAGTGACTAGAGGAACAAGGTTTTGATAGGAGGTGGATGTATTTGAAAGTTTAGACCAGCCAGTGTTAAAAGGGGCAAAGCAGGATACACAAGACTAGTTTGATTTGTCCTTGAATGCTCCAGGGTAGAGAGGCTAGGAGAAAGCAAAGGACATGGAGGTCTATTCAGTGCGGTTATCTCTCTCATTCCCATCTTCACCATCCATGGGAGGAACAGCATCTTTATTTGCAGAACTGAACTTGAAGGCTGGGTTCCTCAGATTTCTGTGGCTCAGGTGCAAATCTGGAGTCTTGATCATTTTTGCCATCTTTTCTGTCCAACTCCTTCCCATGGTCTTTGTTCCCTCCATCTCCAGGACCACAGCTGAAGTTCCTACTTTGGCCTTTTGGGACAGTCACCCCACTTGCTGTGTTTTTTTTTTCTCTTTCCTTTCTGGTCCTTCCTCAGAGGGCTGCGCCAGCTACTTTGCCCATCACTTGTAGAGAACTGATGCTCTGAGTCTGAGCTCTGAGACTGAGCAGAGGCCTAGAGCATCGCTGTACTCATGTTCTCTCCTTTGGTGGAGGGGCTGGCAATACCTGTAGAAGCCAATCAAGTTTAGCTTTGGAGATTGAAGAGTGACAGTATTCTTTATTGAGTGTTTCATTTTCTAGAGAGTTCTTGCTCTCCCTCCTTCGTGTATTTCTGCCAGATGTGACTGGGGCTCCAGTCTGTAATGACTCACTTCCTGTCTTCAGCCATTCTCTTTCTTGAGTTTCTTCACCTGGCCCACTTGTTGTCTCTCCTGGGGTCAGCCATCTAGTTTTGTTTCATCCAGCTGACGCTACAACCTCTCCTGCTCCTTGCGTATCCCCTCTTCTATTTCTCTTTCCCTAGCAGCTGTGTCAACAGACTTTGCCTCTCCAAAGATAGAAACTGCTCTACTGGACCTGGAGTATCATCTTTCCTGGGAATACTCCAAGACGTTAGATTGAGTTTGGGGGGTGCTCTGTCATCATGCCTATCATAGACCCAAGAGTAGTCACCCTGAGGCTCCATGACTGATCTCCCCATCTGTCATACCTGTCTTCACAGCAGTCCCCACCTCCTTTGTAATCAACCCTACAGTACCCACTCCCAAATGCTCTTCTGACGCTGCCTATCCTGGAATCAAAACCTTGGCCATCATTATGATCCTGGCAACCATAGCAATACCCATGTCTCAGCATGGACCATCCTGATACCGCTCCAAATTGAACTGAAGCTGTCATTACCTCTTCTAGGTGGCTAGACCTCAAAGCTCTCTGCAGCAGGGTGGGTTCTCTGGTCTGTGTCTGTTTAGTTAGAATCTAAATTTCTATCTTGACCCAAAGAATGATTATCCCTGTCTTTATCCAGTGTTTGATCAGCAACTCAAAATCTGTCACTTAGAGACACAGAGCACGGAGCAGATGACCCAGGTCCTCAAATTTTGCATTGCCCAAACCTTTCAACTTGTGTGGATTGCTGGCTTCCCGTGGCAAGAGTACCACCCTGATATTTCATCCTCTAAAGAAGTTCTTAATAGGGCAGGTTCCTTAAGGAAATGGTGTAGGATGGTGATTTGGAAAGACAGCTCTGGTGGGTATTTGGTTCCTGAGCAGCCCATGGAGCAGTGGGAAGATGGACCAGTCCATTGGAGGTGCCCTACATTCATCATCATCATCATTACTATGCCGAGTCATTGACACATTTCTTTCCAGATCATCTGTCTCATCTGCCCAGATTACTGGTTTGGGGACATAGGTGCTTCCTCCCATCATCCTCAGCCAAATCGTCTGCTAGTGATGGACTTCCCCTTCTGAATCTTCTGTTTTGCTGAGGCTGCCATGTTGGGGTAGGGGGTGCTAGGGCTCCACTATTCTTTTTCATTTGGGAACTAAACCCATTTGGAAAGATTGAATTAAAATCCAACCTCTTGTCAGATACTTAGTCCTCTCTTGAACCTGAATCTTAAAATCAGATTAGTGAATGAAAGTGTTTGTTTGGTTTTTTTGTTGGTTTGTTTTCTTGTCCTTTGACTTTACAGTGCAGTGTGCATTTTTCTGGAGCATATTTTCTCCTTTTGAGAAGTAGACTAAACAGTCTCCACAATAATGAGGTACACAGGCAGGAGAAAGCATTTCTGGGAGGGATTGTTTTCTTCTTCTTTTTTTTTCCTTCCTGATTAAGCTTTCTCCTAGCCAAATGACTAAATTGAGTTTCTAGGCAAAGCAGTTGTCATGATGTGTGATGTATACTATTTATGCAGGACCCACTTGGGAGCTGTGTCATTTGTCCTATCTTTAAATTGAGGTCAGAATGTCACACACACAACCCCACCCTGGGGAATAGAGTGGATTGGACTAGGTTGCACATTCTGGCTGTCAACGCAGTGGAAATGTCATGTGGGTCATGTCACTCCTGTCATAGTTTGTGACTCTTGGGCTGTCAGGTTGCATTTGGTCAGCATTTCCAGGCCTGCCCCAGGATTGGGCTAAGATGAGTCTAGGGCTAGGGCGGCTCACAAAAGGTTCTTAAATATGGCTAGATCCTGTTCCTGAAACTGTAAACAGTGTAGCAGTGTCCCTTCAACTTATTTCTGGGGTCTGCTACTCTCCTCACACCCATAGGGGACAGCACACACTGTAATTGGAGGCAATGCCCTGCTCAAGTCTTCCAGGCAGCCTGGATTAGCACTGCCTAGCTGGTCGGAGTCTACTGTGTGATACTCCAGGAAGCAGAGCTGATGTATCTGCTCTGTCCTGGTGCAGAATATTCCAGATTTCCAAGTCAGTATTACTTTTCCCAGTTCCCAACACTCATGCAAACACAAAAACAAAGACATGAGAGCGAGGTATATAACTTCTCTGGTGAAAGTGACAAAGCCTCTTTAACATTTGTAGAGAAACATACTGGACAGTGAGCCTGGGCATCCCCAGAGCCCAGCTGGGCATTTCCTTTTCTTTGACAAGCCTTCAAGTGTGCACAGTGAAAACCAATAATGACTAGTCAGGAAGCAGTGAGGGATTTTGTTGTTTTTGAGATAAATTCTTATGTAGTCCAGGCTGGCTTTGAACTCACTATGTAGCTGAATCTGCCCTTGTACATCTGACCCCTTTTGCCTCATGAAAAGTGTTTTATTGTATGTTTGCTTTGCTGTGCTGGGGAATGGAACTCAGGGTCTTGTGAATGCTAGGCTAGTGTTTGCCATTGAGCTACATGTGTTCCTAGTCAGTGAGTGTTTTATTTGTTGTTTGTTTTGCTTTTTAAGCAAAACTAGGTAACAAGAGTCTGGAAATGTAAATGGATATGTAGGCTTTCAGGTTGATTTTTTTTAAATAAAGAAAGCTATCATCCATAATCTCCCATTTGTTATAATAATGAGCTTTTCTTTTAAATCAAAAGGAAGATAATTTCCCGTCAGCTATTCCTACCCTGGGATTTTTGTCTTAAGCCATAAGTTGAGTGTCTGAAGCTGTCAGATGAGAAGGCCTTTGTCTGGAACATGTGAAAGGGTTGCACAGTTCAGCCAGGGTTTGAATTACTGCCCAGGGTCATTGTCCTAACGTAATTCAAGAGGTGCTTTAGCCTCAGCTTTTGAAATGTAGCCTTCATCTCCTGGGGTCTTTAAAAACTGAACAGGGAACGTGGCCAAACAGATCTGAAGTGATAACTTAGTAAAGAAATTGGTTTATCATGTTAAATCAAAAGATCGTGCCATCTGATGTGAGGACGCACACCTGTGATCCCAGCCCTCAGGAGATCAGCCTGGGCTACGAGGTAAGTTTTAGGCCAGCCTGGGCTACATAGGAAGACCCTGTCTCAAAAAAAATAAACAGAACAGATGTCATATTCTCTGCATGAACATGCTTAAATGAACAAATGTAACAATGGGAAAGTTAAAATAAAGACCCCTCAAAATCAGGAAGTGTGCAACAGTTGCCTGTGTTGGTGATTCTGTGTTGGCTTCTAGGCTGTTGTCTGTGTCAGTACAGTAGGGAGATATTAACTCAGGCTAGCCTTAATTGAAGGTCATCATGAAGGGTTTCCCATGGCTAACAGAAGGCCGGAGATTCCCACAAGGGCACTATCAAATATGCCTAAAAGAGAGAGAACAGTACTCAACGTGGTGTATGGTACCCTTTGTTCTCGAAAGGTTTTTCTTCTCAGCACCCATGTCCATTCTTTCGCCTTCCATGAGCTTCCCTGAATACCACGTGTCAGACTGTGTGTGCCCTGTTTTTCTAAAGCTTCCCATTCACCCAGGATGAGTGATTTCTTACGTGGGAAGAGGAGTGTATGGAAGCAACATAAATCCAAGTGGTCAGAAGCTGTGTGAACCAATGCCGTGAGCAAACGGGAGTGGGAGAGGTCACCCCACCCCCAGCACAGCCTGAGGAACACCTCAGCCATCCCCAGGGAGAGGAGACAAAGGACTGATTCTTTTTCCACCCAGGCTGGCTCCTGTTCAGATGACAAGCTCCTGCTCTTGCTGCCTCTGAGATATCTCCTCCGCTCCCGCTCCCAGGCATCAGACCAAGAAAAGCATGCTCACAGGATTAGCCCACAGGCATTTCTTCTGACCTGGCTCAAGAGAGGAAGGAGACCTGTTTGTTTGAGAAATCAGGTGGTGGTGGTTTATGGCAGAGATGGGCAGAAGAGACTTGAAGCAGCATCACTACCCAAACCATCCCGCCCTGGAAAGCAGGGGTCAAGAGGGCTTATCAGAAGCCCAGAGCCCTTCCTGGTGGTACACGCCTGTGGTCCCCACGCTCTGGAGGCTGGGGCAGGCGAGTCAAGAGCTGGGCCTCAAGCATGGTCCTATAAAATAAGATAAATAAAAGACTGGTGTCAGAAGAGTTTCTGATTTCCTGTGTGGGAAAGAGGGTAGGACCGCTAAAGAGCAGGCAGGGACCCACTTGCCGTGGGGCTGGACTGGATCCAGCTGTGTTCCTAGAGGTAGCTTGGGATGTGCTTACAAGGTAAGCAGCAGATGCCAATTTAAGGAAACCTGCCTGGTCATGGAGTTTCTTTGCTTCCAGCAAGATCCCGGCAGCATAGCCCATAACTATGTACAATTATCCTATAGCAATTACAAACAAGGTCCCAGTGCTGGTAAAGACTTGTCTGGCGTTCCTGTCATAAAGCCTATGTAAGGCCTGAGCCTCCTGCCCCTTCCCTCTCCCTCCCTGCCCAAGACGACCAAGTGCAGAGCAGCGCCAGGGCTCCTGTCTGTGTCTCCTTCCCAGAGAGTAATGCAGCTTGCACGGCAAGGGTCAGCCACAGGGTGGAGACCCACATCCTACTGAACCCACAGTGAAGGTGTGTCTCTCATGTAAGCAAAGCCATGTGCCTCCTGGCTTCTGTTATATCTGTTTGGAGATTGCTCAAATACCATTTGCCGAGGACAAGCCTTAAGCTAGCCAGGCAGAGGGAAGCTGGCTGGGGTCACCTTAGACTGTCTCCCCGAAGATGTGTAAGCACTTCCATGACATGTGCGTGTAGGCTTTTGTTTTCTCTCTCTCTCTCTCTGGAAGTGTAATGATCTTCAGTGTTATTAATGTCAACTGACTGTTAAGTGACAACAGCATGGTGGTATGAAGTCTGTCTCCCTCCCGGAAGGGAATCTATGCCAAGGATGTCTCCAAAAACATTGGTTTTATTGATTAGGCCTTGGCCAATCCTGTTAGCTGACTGTTGTCTACACAAACCCATTTCAAATAAACCATTGGTTAAAGCAGAATATTGGACTGTTTTTTTTTTTTATTTTGGAATGTCCTTTTGTACCCATAAACAGTTACCTCTTGAGCCCTGAGTCTAGATGGCCTGCCTCAACGGCTTCTGTAACATTGTTGGAGTTGTTCACAGAACTGAATGCGGCTGGTATTCTTCCCATCTACTCAGAATTTTTTAAAAATATGTTTTTATTTGAACTATTCTAAATTATTTGCAGAGAAATTGTTTTTGATCTCCCCCCAACTTTCCAAAAGTGTTTCTTCTTGCGTTGTTTTCTGTGGTTAAAAGCCTTTCTGCCTTGGATAGAATGCGGCTCAGTAGTAGAACACTTGCTTAGCTCAGGGGAGGCTCTGGGTTCCATCTCCAGCACCAGAAAGCACACACACACACACACACACACACACACACACACACACACACACACACACACACTCATCTTCATCTGCTAGCCAAATTTTATCTTTTGCTTCCCCCAAAGGCCCAAGTGTTTAAACAAGCATCCTGGGATATGGCAATCCAGCCCTTGAAATCCCATCTGAGAGAACTAAGGACCACATTCTCTGAGAGGTGGTTTAAAATGTCCTGAATGTGTAAAATGAAAAAATTTCCCAGATGTCCATTAACAGTAGTGTAAACAATTAGGCAAGAGCCCTACAATGGAATACCAAACCACAATTAAAAGACACAAACCACTGCTCTATTCAACAGTGGTCATAACATGGAAGGAAAAACAGACACAGAAGATTCCATGCTGCCAGGCAGTGGTGGCACAAGCCTTTAATCCCAGCACTCAGGAGGCAGAGGCAGAGGCAGATTTCTGTGAGTTCCAGGCCAGCCTGATCTACAGAGCAAGTTCCAAGACAGTGAGGGCTACATGGAGAAACTCTGTCTTGAGAAACAAAACAAAAAAATTAAAAAAGATCCCATGCTGTGTAATTTCATATATATGAGGCTCAATACCAAGGATAGCTCATGTCTCAAAGAAGAGAACTCCTTTACTCGGTGATGGTTTGTTGAGCTAGAAAAATTTTGTGCTTGCTGTGAGTGAATGTAATTAACTGTATAGGAAACTTAAGTGAAATGATTCAGTGTCAATCAAAACTAAAATTAGTGATAAAATAAAATGTTTCAGAATGTAAAGTAATTGGGGGAAGACAGGTGGTATGGTGTGTGTGTGTGTGTGTGTGTGTGTGTGTGTGTGTGTGTGTGTGTGTGTGTGTTGCTGGAACATAACTGCATGCCAGTCAACAGTTCTAGCATTCAGCCTCAGCCCACCTCTTACTTTGTGGTTCCCTGAATCTACTTCTATCCGAGAGAAGGCTTCCGATGACCAGCCACGCCAGAGAAAGACCCAGGGATGAGAGAACCCCTATGGGTTATAAAACCATAGTGTAAGGAAACAACACTGGCCCACCAGGCATGTCACAGAGAAAGTGATCAAGGGACAGTGAGCTGAAAAACAGGACATTTAGGTGAACCTAGGCCAAGTGTAATACTATTGAGTGGCTGGTGGAAGAAAAATAAGAGCCCTGCCCTAAATTATTTCGAGGGTTCTTTCTCTGTTTGATGTTTTGTTTGCTTAAATATATGTATATTGAACAGATTTTAGGATGTCTAAATAGGAGTTGGGGTGTGTGTTTATGGGTGCAGCTGATACATGCTAGGCAATGTCCTTTTGTTTCCCAGAGGTGAGGTGGGACTAGGCTCTCAGCAGAGGTCACTGGGAACACAGTAGAAATGATTCTAAATTGGTTTAGCCTCATCTTGAATGGATCCAAGCCAGCTGAGCACTGCAGAGTCCTGTGTGAGTCACCCAATATACATAGTCCATTGTGCTCAAAGTGTCTTGGCTTGAGTCTGCATACACTCCCACACACATAGCGATTTTATATTATAGTTACAGACAACAGTCAGTGGCTTATGGTTGTTCAGTCTCTTGAATCAAAACTGTCATTAAGGTATAGCTTTTCTAAATGGCCTACACTACAAGATGACTGAAATTAAAATGCAAGTTTTTATTTTTAAAATCAGTCTTAAAATGCCACCATCATTTTTCACTTGGAAGGTTTTTTAGAGCATTGCTTTTTAATTTCTTGTTCTGGACATGTATGATTTGAGTCTGGGTCCCTCGATTCTGGATGTAAATGTTGAAAACATTTGGAAGATGCAGCTGTAGTAGATAAAATGACCCTCAGAGCCAAATCCTCAGGCAAAACTTTCCACTCTCACAGCTGGGGTTGGTGGTTCACAACTGTAATCCCTTCACATGGGAATCTGAAATCAGAGGATTGTCAGACATTTGAGGTCCAGCCTCAGGTACATAGTGAGCTCCAGGCTAGCCTGAGCTACATGAAAGACCTTGTCTAAAACCCCCAAACCATTCTTTCACAGTGTGGAGGTTTTACACCCAATGCCTTTACTGTGAGTAAGAGAGTTTTCCTAGGAATTCCTCTCCAGGTTTCCACTGGTCACCGATTCTACACAGACAAACAGAACAGACGTTCAAGGAGTCGTTGCCACAGTTGTTGGGAGGAGAATCAGTAGTTTCCGGTTCTCACTTAATTTCCTGAATCCATGCTTTTTAATTAATGAAGACTTTAAGAAAGCAAGGCTATGCGGATTGATTTTTGTGGAGGATGGAGGGGGAGGGGAGAGTGATGTTGACACGGCACTAGGCACTCAGGACGGTACCTCCCATGCTGTCATCAGCCCCCTGGACACGTAGCTTCTGGACAGTTTTCAGCCTTCCTTGTGTTCCTGGACTGCCTCCCCATTCCCCGGTGGCCTTGTCCTGTCCTTTCTGGCCCCCTGCTCTTTCTGTGGCATGCCCCCAGAGAGACCTTGCAGGTGCCTAATGTGATTAAAGCTGCCCGAGCCCACTCCATGCGTTGTGCCTTCGGCTTAAGACTTTTACCCTGGTCAACTGGGCAGCTTTATTCTATTACTCAAAAAGCAAGAGGAATAAGCATAAGCAGGAAGTGACCAGATTTTTTTTTAATTCCAGAAATCTCGATGAGCCATTAATACATACACATCATTTATTCAGCAGTAATTCAATGAAGTTCTATAAGGTAGATCACACTTAGAGACTTGCTTTTTTGCCCAAATGACCAACAGGACAGTCTGATTTTTCTGCCTGTGGTCACCTACCTTCCAGATTCCAGCAGGATTGGATTCTAATGCCTGCCCTGGGGATTGTAGTAAAACACACACACTTCAGGGACGCCGTTCTGACTGACCAGGCTAAGTTAATGGGAGTCACAATTCCAAAGTCCATTAAGTTTATTCCTTGGCATCTGGGAGGCTCGAGCAACGAAAACAAGTGTGTGTGCCATTTACCAGTTGGCTGAGCCACTTCAAGGAGTGGATGTGCATTTGTGTGCTGGGGGCTTGGCACCATAAGAAAGGTCACTGTGCTGGTTCAAGGTAGGGTGGCCTGAAGAGAGCATCAAGCTCCAAAGCCCTCCCTCCCCACCTCAGCTTTGAGCACCGTTCAGTCTCCCTCCCACAGTCAAGAACAATCACGGACATCTGACTTGACTGCCATTTGTTCCAAGAGAATCATAGATGCTAGTTTATAACAAAACAGGGAACACATGGGTCACTGAACTCGGGAAATAAAACTCTGCAATCTTAAAGACATGAGAACCAGGTGCCTGTGGGAACTCACTCAGCAACAGGAGGGTAAAGGCGGTGCATGCTGCAGAATAAACCTATGAATTGCATTGTCTCCCGGTCTGGCCATCCTAGATGCTGATGTCATTATTAATTTTTGCTGCTGGGGAGGAAGCTCAGGGCCTCCCACACATAGTCAAGTTTGGTATTAAGCCACATCCATCCCATCGGATATTGACACATCTTAACTGTTCCCCTACCATAGAAACAGTAGAAGTGGAATTTCCACTTGTATTTTGTTTTGCTTTTCTTTGAGACATTTCACTGTTTAGTCCATGCCGGCCTCTAATTTAGGGCCTTACACCCCAAGTGCTGAGATTACAGCATGTCCAGATCACACTGGTTTGTAGCTGTCTCCCTCTGAGCCAGGTTGACCTTGAATTCATGGCAGTCTCCCTTGCCACGGCCTTCCAGGTGCTGAGGTTAAAGTCTGAACCCCTACGCTAGGCCCTCACTTCAACAGCTGAGCTGGTCAGTTTCTTCTTCCTTGCAGAGATCTGATTTTTCTCTCCTAAAGCCTAGAGAAAAGCTGTTGGTTTGTACACAGTAGAAAACGTGTGATTATTTTCCCATCAGACAGACGGTAAAGTGTTTCAACTGAATGCAAATCACGTCATAGAGGTTCAGAAGTTTTATATTCCCAAGGGAGCAAGAAAGGCACACTGGAGCTAGGTATTGGTCCTTCAGCTGTGCTAGCTAACTCTTTCAGTTCCTCCCAAAATCCAAAAACTCAGCAATTGCTTCTTGTGATGTCATCTTTGGAAAGACTTGGTGGCTTCATGGGGTAAAAAACTCCCATTTCATTTAATAAGACTTACTTTTTCTCCACCCAGAAATGGGAGGAAATTCAGACAATCTCATATTAGCATGCACGTACCATCCTGTTTCAGAAATGCAGGGGTTACCTTGTGTCAAGCAAAGACCTGGCTATCAGATTACAAATTGGCCACCTACAGCTCACTGGGCAAAACTGGCTTTTGCCTGGCTTTGTAGAAATAATGTTTAGGCTGGGTTTCACCCTTTGAGATGGCTGGGATGAAGAGGATGGGGTGAAAACTGTTTTGTGACATTGGAATTTCCTGGAACTCAAATCTTAAGTGTTTATAAACCAGGTTTGGGGCTGTCAGGATGACTCAGTGGGTAAAGGTGCTTGCTGTCATGCCTGATAATGACCTGAGCTTGATCTTTGGGATTCACATGATGGAAGAAGAGAACTGACTTCCATAAATGGTCTTCTGGCTTCCACAGGTGTGCCACTGTACACATGTACCCGCTCCCCCGCCACATACACACTAAGCAGATGTAATACTAAGTAAGTGTATGAATAAGGCCTTGTGAGAGCTCAGCCTTGCTCAAAAGTTGGTGAAACAGCATCCTCGGCTGTTTTCAAGATGTTGTCTCAATCAACCAGTTCCAAAACGTTGCGTTAGCATGATGACAGGAGATCCCCAAGAAAAAGCTGTCTTTTCTGTGTCAAGATCTGCCACAAATACATCTGACCTACTAGTTACCAGCTATTGCCTAAGTGAAACTCATAGTCCCAGAAGCAGTGCTTACAATTCTGAGTGACTGTTCCTCTAACAATGACTAATTATAAAGAAAACACTCCCCAAGGAATTCACACCATAAAATATTTATTAAAAATTTAAAATGATTTTCTCCTGCTTTGGTTATTAAAAATCTTTGACTCCTATCTCTGCTGATACCGACTGTCAACAATAATGTGGCGTCACTACTAACAGACAATGGGCAGATGACAGAAGACTAGATGGACGATGCTGTGGGTAAGATGTATAGAAGACCAAACTTCAGTAATTTAACAAATTTTGGCTTTGCTAGCAGCTGAAAATTTACTTACACATGTTTAAACTTTTTTCATAAGTAATCAACATACAAATTCACTTGAATTTGATAACTTGAAACATCGGCAGTGCTTGGAGAGTTTGTTGAAGACGGGGTGAAAAGGGGACCCAGAAGTCACATCTTCTTGGAGATTTTTTCTCTGGATTCCATTGTTCCTGCTGCAGGGAAAATAGACCATTCCGGTAACAAGAGTCTAAAAAAGCCTTCTGATTTGCAAAGCAATTTGTGTCTGAGGTCCTCATGGTGGCTGACGACCAACACTGAGCATCTCTGCAGCACATTTCTTTGCATTTTTTACTGACCTTCATCCACACATGCTAATTCCCTGCCCTTGGTACTATTTAGACAAGGGGATCCTGAAATCAGGCGGAACAAAAACGAAGCCCCATGCCACATCACGTGGCAAGGTTAGAAGTAACTTGGAGCACAGCAGGTGACAGATAGCTCATGATTTCAATAAAAAAGCATCGAATTACTTCTCAGGTGCCACCACAGAGCCAGAAAGTAAAAAGGCTCCATCAAAAAGGGGCTAATGGCTTCACTGCCACTCCACCCCTAGAATTTGAATGTCTTCTTTAGATGCATACATTTCCTTTCCTTCTCTTTAATGTAGAAAATCACTTCGTAATAAGATCTCAACACATGGTTATTTAAAAAAAAACTCAAAATAGCCTCCCCCAAGAAGCATAAAAATAGACAAACTATATCTTTTACAATGAAATTAAGACATGAGGTTTGAGGCTGTTGACTAGTGTCAGAGTTCAAACTGGCTTCTTTTCATAATAATTATATTATTTACATCTCCTTTCAGCCTTGAACACTGATTTAAAAAACAGCCCAGGTAAAGGGGAGGTCACAGGTGTTCTCTTGTGCAGCTGAAACAAAAAGAAATAATGACACCACACAACCTCAGACTCTGGCAGCCGCACCTCAAGGGCACTTAGGGGCTCAAGCATTTGTCACATACTTGAGGACACAGGTGGCGACTCCAGGGGCTGTGTTTTTCCGTTCTGAATCAGGAAACACGCACAGAAACACTGTTCTGGAGATGTTCTCGGGCAAAGGAAGTCATTCGGGAGAACATTAATGAAAATACCACCAACTTGAGCAGACTTCTGGCACAAGAATCTGGCCGTTTCGCTCAGTCTCATAAAAGCCTAATTGGTGACCTGCAAGCTATACAGTCACTGCAGGGTACATCTTCTGTTCACTGTTAGTGTGGGCAAAGGCAGGCTGGACTTGTCTGTAGCCGGGCTGCAGGCCGTCCATGAATGGGGGCACTGGAGTCATGGGCACAGAGTCATGCTGTACGGCATACCCTACATATGGGGTGTGCAGATACTGCCCTTGATGGGGTACAATCTGGGTGGCCTGTTGACAGTTAAGTACAGAGAAATTCGTGGGCATGTTGACGTACACATTGTTCATGGTTCCCTCAGGCAAGCAGCAGTTGGTCTGTGACCTTGTTGGGGGAGCCCGGGCCCCTGAGTTCGCACTAGAGCTGGAACTTGCAGCTGTGCTGGACTGCCTAGAGGATGACCCCCGGGAAGTGCTGGCACTGGGGATCATGGGGATAGTCTCCATCAGGCGGTTGCCCCCTGGGGCTCTGCTCTGCTGGGGATCCTGCTTTGGCCTTAGGCATCTACAACAGCAGGCTGCTACAAGGGACCCAAGGATGATGAAGGCAACGAACACGGAGCCAACGATGAGAAACGGCACATAGATGGGGACTGGGGAGAGAGCAGAAGCACAGCGTTATGGTTCACATAAGAATACCATAAAACCCGGTGAGCAGCAAAGGCCAGGGGCAGATGTGCACAAACTGCACTCAGAAGCGAAGGACGAGGGCCTGGCCAGCTTGATCACAGCTCGCCAGGCCACAGGGTGCAAGCGCCATGGCCAACTGCTTTGGGAAGCCGCCAAGGCCCTGCAGGCGTGGCAAGACCCCGGAAGCTAAACTACACAATCCCACTTAGAGTCCCCTAATACAACACCAGACGCCCTATCCACGTTGGCAAAGTACAGCCGAGCAGCCTAAATGTAAGTCTTCCCTAGCCGGAAGCCACAGGGCCTAAATGGAAATGAATTTACACTTCTCTAAATCTTTCTTTATTCTTCTAGGAAATTCTGCACATTCCTTGACTTCTTTCTAATAAGTTTCTTTTCTTATAGACAGAACAATAAGAAAACAAGTAACTTAGGTCAGATTATGAACCACCATCATTTCCAAATAGGAAATAAGACAGAGGTGGTCTCAGAAGGGGAAAAACTAACTAACTCTGGGGCAGTGAGATGGCTCAGCAGATAAAAACTCCCAGAACCCACACAGTGGAAGAAAAGAGCCTTCTCCTAAGAGCCTGCCTTCTGTCTCCAAATGCCTGCCACGGGGCAAGCGCACACACGCATGCACGCACGCACACAGGCATGCGCACACACACCAGATAAAAGTAAAAACAAATGTAATATTTAAAAAGTGCACTTAAAAACCCAGTTTACTAAGAGGGGAGAATAGCAAAATAGTTACCAGTGGCTTTAACCTTGGCACTGGGGAAGCAGAAACAAGAAAACCATTTTGAGTTCAAGGCCAGCCTACGCTACACAGTGAGTCAGGCCAGCCTGGGCTATAAAGTGTCCTGTAAAGTGAGACTTTGTCCTCATGTGTATCTTTAATTATATATTATATTGTAAAATAAATAAAAAATTTAAAAATGTCTGTGGGAGCTATAGGAATGCAACCTCACAGGGCCAGCGAGTCAAGTTAGCAAGTGGTCTCCCAGCAGGTTCAGGACACGAGCAGGCAGGGAGAGCCTGTAAAACACCTCTGAGCCACTTCCGTGGAATCCTACCTGCATCCCAGAATCTTGCATTTTCTGGTGTGTTCCTGACTCTGTTCCCTTTCTTGGCAGGGGTGGGAGTGGGTGGGGTGTTGGCAATTGAACTTGGGGCCTCACACACTACGGAAGTGGTCCATCACTGAGCCAAGCCCAGCCCTCCCTGGCTACTCCATCCCAACAGGGATTCATGGGTTCCGCCTACCTTAGTGAAGAAGCACTTTGCCAGCCCTTCTGATGGGGCAGCATGGAGCCCGCACCCCACCCATTCTGGGAGTCATGCTGTTCACATACCGTACAGAATCACGGAGAAATAATAACAACTGAACATATTTCTGAGGTTCGGGACAGTGGGCAGGGGACACTGCCGAGCAGAGCCACTTCTACACTCGGGGTCCCTTGGGCAGACCCGAGGGCGTGCTGCCATCTGCAGCCCAGCTGGCTCCCACACCTGTACTGCTCTCTTTACACCAGCACTGCAGGCCACGTCCAGGACAGGAGCAGTGAAAGGCAAGTTTCTTCCTACATATGCCATAAATATTTCATTCTCTAAATTAAGATACCAGCCCCCGCATGTTATAAGAGGTAAACAAAAAAACAACACAAATAAGTTTCATCTCCAATACCTCCAATATGAGAGCAAAAACTAACTGAAGCCCACATAAATGAGTTTTGGGGGAAATAACTGTTCTCTTTCCAGGACTTTTAATTGGAAGTGTAAAGAATGCAGAGCTACCGGGGGCTTAATTGAGCATGTTGTCCTTCAGTGCAGAAGGGCTGTGAAAGGAGCAGGAGATTTAAAGGGGAGGGCTAAGAGTAGAGTGAGGGGTGTCCATGCCCAACACCGGTAGTGTTAGCAGCCTGCTGCCTCCAGCTTTGGTAGAGGGGAGGGCTAGGAGTAGAGTGAAGGGTGTCCATGCCCAACACCAGCAGTGTGAGCAGCCTGCTGCCTCCAGCTTCGGTCAACGTCATCCCAACTTTTTAGAAAATATTAATAAGCCCAACTTAACAGACACCGCATTGTAGTCATCCGGCTCATTTCTCCAGGCTTTATTCCCAGACCACACACTCTGCAAAGCTGAGCAGGAGTTCAGATGACACCTTCTCTAGAATTATCCTCAGGTCTCTCTTCAGACTCAAGTCAATGCAGCAGTCAGAGCAACAAACTTACGAAATGCTCGACTGCAAAGAGGATACCACTGAAAAGGGCCGATGGGTGGGGAGCTGCACTATCAACCAGAAACCACGGATGCCAAGGCTCAGGCCATGCCACTCCTACGTGCTGGCAGCACTCACACACACACACACACACACAGACACACACACACACACACAGACACACACACACACACACACACACACACTCGATTAGGCAGCCTCTCCACCGAGGGGAATGTGTCTCACAGGAAATGCAATCTACTGGATTATTTGACAGGCTCACTTTCAAAAATCTGGCTTTGACTATTAAATAATCAAAGCCTCACTGAGCTAAGTTGGGCACTGCTCCAATGTCACATCTATCTAGTTTGCCTAAGGAAACCAATCCAGATCTCTAGAGGCCTAGGTAGCTGTGCACTGGCTCATCCGGAAGAGACTAGAGTCCTAGGATGTGAAAAGTTGTATCGCCCACGGGAAGCTGTCCCCCACCCCCATCCCGTCCCGCCCCACTCCCGAGAGCTGCCTTCCCTCGGAGGACCCTTGGAGAACCCCGGACAAGCCTTCTCCAGAGGTAGTGCACCCTTGTCATTTCCTTGGGTAGTTCCAAGAAACTAAGTCCCATGGAAACTGGTGACACAAGGAGGGGGAAGGACCTCGAACAGAACTAACGTGTTTTGTCTCGAGTTTTTTGCCCCACTTCACCCAAAGCTATTGAGTAGAAAAAAACCAAATTCTCGACTTCTCCTGTTTCCAGGTCCTTTCCTAAAATCTCCAAGCATCCGGATCCCTGTTGCCCAGGCAAAGCAACCGCCCTCCCTTTTTTGCACCTGGTTGCTGATGCCCTACCTGCCGAGCTGTCTGGACCGTCTCTGTCTGTCCGGCCTGGCTCCCCCACACCCTGCTGGCGGTCGTTGTCGCAGCCGCCTTGGTCCAGGCGCGCCTCGGCGCTGGAGCAGCAGTAGCGCAGCGCACAGCTGCCGCAGCAGATGGTGGCATCGCCGCCGTCGAAGCGCTCGGGGCACTGGAAGCCGATGCGCCAGACGCCCTGCGCGTCCAGCCAGCCATGGCAGTACTCGCCGCTGGCCCGCGCCCCCGCCGCCAGCAGCGCGGCCAGCAGCAGCTGCAGCAGCGACGCGCGGTGCCCAGAAGAGGTGGCGGGTGAGCCGCGTCTGCCCCACATGGCACTGCCCTGGGATGTCTCTGGAGGACGTAGATCTCCTCAAGAAGTTACAGCTCGGCGACGCCTGGGACCTTCCGAGAGGGCCACTCCCCTCTGCCGCGACACCCAGGCTGCAGAGCCAGGGTCTAGGTCATCCCTCCTTGTTAGTGAGCCGCCGGTCCCGATTAGACTCGGTCTTCACAGGGGCATCGCGGAAGGAATGTTCCTGGAGGCTTGGCGGGCGATCCGAACTTCCCTGTGCATCCCCCGAGGGGACGCCCGCTGTCCACCAGGGGCCAGGCCGCCGCTGGAGCGTATCAGCGGCAGGGTCCCGCGCGGGCGGGGTGCGAGAGTCTCCCCCTCTATTCACCTCCGGAGCGAGAAGTAGCCAAAGACGCGGGCAATGTGAGCAGAGCTCCCGGCGGCAAGTGCAGCGGCCGGCCGCGTTCTAGCTCTGCGACCCCGGGCTCGATCCTCCTCATGGCTCCGGTCACTGCTCGGGACGCTGCGAGTGTCCGCACCTCCCCTGCAGTCCCGGAGCCCGCCCGGCTGGCGGCGGCCGCGGCTGCTGCTGGGCGCGGGGCCAGCGGGCTGCCCGCCCCGGCTCCTGCTGCAGCTCGCGTCCGGTCTGCTTCTTCCCGCTGTAGCTGGTGAGCCCGGGACAGCGCGCTCCGGTGGGAGCCACCCACGGAAGTTTCAGTCCCTCGGGCTACGGGAGCGGGAGGAACGCGCGGCCGCCCCACACTCGCCCGGCACGGCCGCAATCCAGCGCCGACTGCCGAGCTGCGCGTAGGGCTCCACTCTTAAGAGGGGCTGGCGGCTCCCCCCCGCGCGCATGCGTGCTGCGAGGGTTTCCCTCCGCCTTGGGACGCCAGGGGACACCCGCAGCCCTTCACTTTCCTACACCAAAGGTGTGGCGGTGGCCAGGCAGCGGTGCGAGCGAACGCGTGTTCGGTGGGAAAACGCGTGTTAAGTCAGCCACGCCTTGGGAAGCAAAAATTAAAGCAGGGAGTGCAGAAGCAAAAGTTTAGTACGAATCTTCAACATTCTGAGTTAACTCTGACAACCCTCCAAAGGATAATCACTAATTACTTTCCATGTTACAGACGACGCAGTCGTCACTCACATAGACTTACTTGCCTGCTCAGCTCCCAGCCTCCAAGCTCAGGAAGAACACAAATACGATTTGAGCAGTGGGCGTGGCCTCCCGGTGCCACTGCACCGCAAGAGGGAAGAGGGCAGCAGGGACATCAATGAGGTGGGCACTGTCTAAATGATCTATGTCACTTGATTTGGTCTCCCCTCCCTGCTTAGTTGGGTGTGGTAGTTGTCGAAGTTCGGCTGAAAGGTGCCCCCGTGAAACATTTGACCTCGGTGGCTTAGACAGCTGCCGCCAGGAAGGAGGCAAGGATCCAGACGCCAGAGATTCCAAGAAGGAACGAGTATCTCCGCTCTTGCAGAAGCTGAACAGGTGCTGGATGCTATTGAAGTAGCGATGAGTATTTTTAAAGGAACTTCTGAGTCTTTCTCAGCCAAAGTCAGTCAATGTAAATTCTAGACCCAGCCCCTCGAGTAGGAGTCCTCATATGTTGCTGGTCTCTGTTTCTTCGCGTACTTAATGAAGCACCAGATGCGACTGACACCAATGTCCCGGCCAGGTCCATGGCTACAGAATACGAAGCAATTTTATCCATAGCAAAGACATTTTGGCTTAAATCACCATGGGGCTCTTAATGCAACCCTTCACCTCAGCCACCAAGAATCAGCCTCCAGTCAATACCCCAAAATGCTCACAGAGAAAACTGCACCCACAAAACACATTATTCTTATCATTCAAGTTGCCTCCAAGCACTGCACTTGCATGGATCCCAGGGCCTGTGCCTGAGAGGCAGATACCCTACCACTGAGCTCCACCCCAGTCCTGAAATCACATATTTTAAATGAACCAATCGCCAACCTTCTATAAGCTAAGAAATGAACAAAACTTCAACATGGAGGAGCCATTCATTTCATAAACACATTCTGTGTGGCATACTGGAGATTTGCCTTGAAGCCAGACACCTTGGTCATTTCTCTGAGCAAGGTGGTTTCCCTTCCACCCAACCCTGCTTAGCTTCAGAGATCAGATGACATTGGGCACAATCAGGATGAATGACAAAAACAAAACAAAAACAAAAAACAAACAAAAAAGCCTGAGCCAACCCTAAAGTCTTTGAGTTAAGAGAGAAGTTGGACTGAAGTATAATCAAACAAGTAAAAACAATGCAAGTATGATGGGATCTACAAACAGCAATGTACAGGGCCAATCTCCAGGTGAGGGATGGGCATGTACATGTATTCCCGCATATATGAGCACGGGTATGTAGATATCAGGCTTCTTTCTCAATAGCTCTCCATTTTGAGACATAGTATCTTACTGAATGTGGAGCTCTCAATTGAACTAGGCTTGTAAACTCCAGAGATTTGCCTGTGTGTGCCCCCACCCCACCACACACACACACACACACACACACACACACACACACACACAGTGATGGGGTTGCAGGCCAATGCCACCACACTTAGCTTTTTTGTAAGTGCTAGGGATTCGAACTCAGGTCCCCATGCTTGTATAGCACACACTTTATTGGCTGATCCATCTCCCTGCCCCTTTACAACACTGGGTTGAAAAGAAAGGCAAAAGAACGTCAGAGGACTAGTATTTACGCTGAGGCCCGGAGAAGCCAAGATTGGTTAGAAGGAGTCATTTTCTTGGTCAGTATTGTTAGCTACCATCTACTGGGAATTTGCCATAGTCTAGGCAGCTTCATTTACTCCTCACAGCCACCCTGTGAGGAAGATAATACTTTGCTCAATTTATTGGTGAGGGTAAATTTCCCAGCCCACATGGACAGAAAGTGTCAATTTTCCTGAACTCATTTCTTGCTTGACTCCAAAGCCCATTTACCAACCTGCTGGTCACCACAGTTACCATTTCCTGTGTCTGTACAGGTTGATTTACCTAGTGTTCTGAGGGTTAAATACTTTTCTAAAATTTCTTTTTTTAATTATGTGTATAAGTGTTTGTCTGTGAGTGGTTATGTATGTGTGTAAGTTCAGGAACCAGAAGAAGACATTGGATCTCCTGGAGCTGAAGTTACAGTTGTCTCTTGGGAGTGCAGGGAAACTTACTCCAATCCTCTGTAAGCAGGTTAGCACTTTAAGTATGTTCCTTCATTGATGTTTGATATGAGATGTCTGTACTTAATACAGACAGCACTTGCTCTATACCCCATTTCCTCTCCCATTTATGTGGGTCTCTAAAACCCATGGTTTGCCAGAATTAATGAAGAAATTGCTAAACATTTCACACTGAATTGAGCAGGTTTGGTTGTACCACGGTTTAAGTACACCATTGTTGCTGTTGTTTTTCCCCCAAATAGTCAACAATTAGTTTATAATTGGTAAATTTGGGAGTATGACACTTTGAGGACATCCATTCTCTTTTTTTAAATACTTGTACAATCTCTTTATTTTTCTCTTTGTTTTTAACCCAGTGGGGGTGGACACAAAGTCTTGTCCATTCTAAGCAGATGCTCTGCTGTTGAGCTCCATACCCTTAAAATTAAGGGGGACTTGTTTCATTGGGACTTGATGCGATCACCGTCTTCAGTGTCCAAAGGTTCCATTCCTTCTATTTCATCCTCTGGTTTGTTTTTATCTTTACTGTGCACCTCATATGCTGAATTAATATAAATTCAATCCAATGACTTTTGAATTACTTTTCTATTGTGGGTGCTGCAAAGAGAGCTTAAGATGATCTTGCTCTTTCCAGAGGAAACAATAAGAAATTCCCTCACTTTCCTTAACAGGCCGCCTAACTTATTCTCTTACTCTCTTCTGAGACACCAAAACTTGCTATCACAGCACACGAGCAGTAGCTTCCCAGTGAGTCTTAGCAGGGCCAGGAGTCTCTCACCTTCTGCAGACACAGCAGCAGCACTTAAAGGAGAACAAAATTTCATGCTCATTCACATTTCTCCTTTCTTTTTTCATGAACAGGAACAGTACTGCAAATCTCACATTTGTTTTACTAAATGTTCTTTTAAGCTGAAGTATTGTGTTACACAATACAAACTCAAATCTAAACAATTAATTTAACTCAACATCTTTTTAAGAAAGATTTTTGCTATGCATACAGTGTTCTGCCTACATGTATGCCTGCAGGCCAGAAGAGGGCACCAGATCTCACTACAGATGGTTGTGAGCCACCATGTGGTTGCTGGGAATTGAACTCAGAACCTCTGGAAGAGCAGCTGGTGGTGCTCTTAACTCTGAGACATCTCTCTAGCCCCTAACTCTACATCTTGCCCCATCATTTTATCAAACCCCTATTGGAATGTTTACTGTTTTACAATTTCTTTTTGGAAATATATAGTTAGAACTTATCTGGGCCTTTTATGTACATCAAAGCAAAATCAGCAAGGATATAAAAAATTATTGCAACAGGGCTGGGGAGATGTCTCTGTGGATGAAGCTGTTTTTATGGAAACATGAAGACCAGAGTTTATCTTCTTAAAATCCACTGCTTCTGCAGACAATAACCCCCAGCTGATCCACTGGTTACCCACAACATCGCAGGCTTTTTTCGAACACCAGTCCCCAAATCATGACACTTATTATTACTTATGAAAACTTGAAAACTTGACCTTAGCTTAAGCTTGTTTCTAATTAGCTCTTATAACTTAAATTAACCCCTTTCTATTAATCTATGTGCTGTCATGTGGCTCATGACTTTTACTTCTCCTCCTGCATGTCCTGCTTCCTCTGTGTCAGGCTGGTGACTCTGCCTTTCTTCTTCCTTGAGACCTCTCTGTCCCCAGAAGTACCACCTAACCTCTTCCTGCCAAGCTATAGATCATTCAGCTCTTTATTAAACCAATCACAGTGACACATCTTCACACAGTGTAAAGGAAAATTCCACAACACCACAATCCCAGAATTTAGGATACAGACTGGACAGAATGTGCAAGCTATGTGATCAGGGAAAGACCCCATCTCAATATATAAAGGCAGAAAGTGATCAAGGAAGACATCCAACATCAACTTCAGGCCTACACACACACACACACACATACACACACACACACTGCTTTTGACAAATAATTGCAAATCATATATAATGATCCCAGTGTTCATAACATAAACATTTCACAACTTGAGAATGAAAAGGAAAACAACTCAAAAGATTTAAACAGCAGCCCCCTCGCCAAGAAAGGCCAATCATATGGAAGAATATTTATTCTTTGTCACTAGTCACTGGTTGCCAAAATCAAAACCTCAAGATATCACATTACTCTTGGAAGGGAAATAATGATGATGACAAGAAGAAAAATGGTGTTTGTGAGCATATGGTAAAACTGATGTCTGTAAACATTGCTAGTGGAATTAAATATGGCTTAACCATTGTGCAAGCAGTATGACAGTTCCTAAAGAAGTTAAATACAGAACGGCCATGTGATCCTACCATTCCATTGATTCATATTTATGTATAGATAGATAGATAGATGTGTGTGTATATATATATTTCAAAGAGTTGAAAGAATTTTAACATACATAAGCTTCTACATTAATATTCAAACACCACTGTTCACAATAGCCTAAGAGTGGAATAACTGCCAACAGGAGAATGGATAGGCAAAATGTACTAAATCCATACAGCTACAAGAAGTTTTACCTACAAAAGGAATGAAGCCTAAGTACATGCCTCAACATGTGTGGACAAAAGACAGATGTAAAGAACGTGCATTATATGAGTCTAGTTAGAGCAGAGGTTCTCA